TATGACAGCCATTTAAAAAATAAAAAGATGGAGATCAATATAAACTTTTGGTCATTATTTATGGTGAGATTCTGCTTTAATTCACACAGTCAAGACATGTTGTGATCTGCCTGATTTTTAAAAGTCAGTCCTACTAAGAAGGAGGTGAATAGTGAATATTACATGGTTTGTGAGATGCTTCTCATAAGGCCCCTGATGTCTCCCATAAAGCTGTCTATCAATTTCAAATGCAGGTCACCAGATCAGATGCTGAAGACTGGGACACACTACACCAGAAGGACCGTGGCTGCATTTCTGGTTGCCGCGTGTTTCCATAAGCTTCTTTTCCTGTTGCGTACTCTTGACATCTGAATTTTCTTGTTGCCTTATTTTCTTACTTCTGGTTTGTTCTTTTTATCCTTAATAGCAACCCTGACCCAAAAGTTTAATTTGACAGTAATTAAAACAATACCTCTACAATGAATGCCAAATGTTCCACTGAAGAACGTAACAATGCTAGAGCAGCTGTGAATTTTCATAGTACATAAGAGCAGAGAAAATTGTTTTGTTGAAGATGGTGACACCTCAGTGGGGGACAGACAATAAGTGGATGGAAGTCCCTTTCTCATTACATAGCTATCATTATAGCTGAAGAGTTTTACTCTGACTAATTAAGGATAAGAATAGAAGTCTGAGAAGATTGTTGCTTATCAAAAGCCTGAAAAGAAGCAATGAATCCTGTAGCAAAGACAGACAAAGGAAGTTTGTTCTGGGCAGATATGCAGTTACATGTTAAAATCCAAAGTAAAACAGTTGGTTCATTCAAGATATTTGGCCACAGTGATAATCTCTTTTATATGGCAATTTGGCTGGGCCATGGGGCACCCAGAAATTTGTTCAAACATTATTATGAGCGTGTCTGTGAAGGCATTTCTGATGAAACTGGCATTTGCATCAGTAGAAGACTGAGTAAAGCAGATTACCCTCCGATGTGGGTGGGCCTCATCCAGATGAAGACTCAAATAGAACAAAAACTCTGAATGAGAGGTAACTAACTCTTCCTGCCTGAATGTTGACCTGGGTGTCAGTCTTTTCCTGACTTTACCCTAAAACTGAAAAATCAATACTTTTTGAGTCTCTAGCTTGCCAGCTTTTAGAATGGAATTTATACCAATGGTTCTCCTGGGTCACCAGCTTGCTAACTGTAGATCTTGGGACTTCTCAGCCTCCATAATCTAGTGAGCCAATCCCTTAAATCTACCTCTCTATCTCTATCTCTACCACTCCCCATAGAATGTACACACACACACACACACACACACACACACTCTGTTTTTCTGAAGAATGCTGACTAATACAGCCAGCCACTTTAGACCCATCTCTATTTCAAATACTTAGTTTTATTGTTATCTTCAATTTACTAATCTATTAATCTGTCTCTCATAAAATAGGAAGTTTTTATCTCTAAGCTAATGTCTACTTTCATAACCCAAATATTTCTATTTTTTATCAACTACTATTTGAGTAAAAATCTTTAAAGAAATAGAGGAAGTAAAGAGTTCTGTCTCTGAATATGTGATACTGAATTAAAGTATGTTTTATATTGGTCTGGAATATTATGGTAAACAATGTATCTCCTTGGGGGGGGAATGGTTCCTAGAAAATACAGCTGAGTAAGTCACAGGTACTTGGCACAAAAAAAAAAAAGAGGAAGGAGAGGAGATAGGGAGGGAGAGGATGAAAAAGAGAATGATGGGGGGAAGGAGGGAGGAAGGAGAAACTAATCATAGTCCTGAAAGACTAGTTTAAAACTTTATATGTTATAAAAAATAAAGCATTTTAAAAAGTAAAATAGATGTATTAAGGATTTTCTAAGGGCAGACACTGAGCTAATTGCTGTGAAAAGCTGAGTAAACAGAGCCTTTTCCAAATGGAGTTGGAGCGCCCTTGCATAGGAACTGCCTTGCACAGCCCACTCCTTGATGCTTTAGAATGTTGAAACTGGGCAAAACAACCTTTAAACCAGGCTAAAGCAACACTGCATTCCAAACAACTTCATAGAGTTAATAGGAAAACAGACATCATGACTACAAGGACTGCAAATTAATTCTTTAGAATCAGTAAACAGCCATGTATAGCTAGCAAATAATTTAGCTTATTACTACCAAGATAAATTCCCCTCTTCTATTTATAAAATTATTTCCCTTCCTCTTTTCATAAAAACCCCTCTGCTTTCACCCCATTGTTGGAACACGATTTAGGTTTCTGCCCAAATCAGTGCTTCCCAGAATTGCAATTCTTTGGACATCACAAAAAAATGCTTGATTTCTTCTCACTTTTTTTTTTAATTTTAAGGTTAACACTGCTTTACATGCATTATAATCTCACTGAATGCTCACAACAAAAGTAGTTTACACTTATGGGATATTTTACTCAGAGCCACACCCTCTTCATCCTTTTTGTTTATTAACTTAAATAATTCAACATGTTTATTATCCTTTATGGCAGATGAGGAAACTGAGGCTTTTAGGGAGGTGTAAGCAAGCTGTCCTCGTCCACAACTTAATTTCACAGGTTAAGTGGTCAAGTTGGGATTTAAATACGGAGATCTGACCCTACATCTGTTCTCTTACTCAGGACAACGTACCCACCTTCTCTCAGGAAAATGATACATGAGAAGTCATCCAAAGCGAGTCAACAGAGTATAGGGTTCTAGTTTTGGTGTCCAAATCTTGAAGTTGTGTCACCTCACAAAAAGTTACATTGTCTGTGATTCTTGGTCTACTGTCTATAAAACTAGATAAAAGTGCCCATCTTGTCAAAAGGTCCTACTTATATGGAGAAAAAGAGATGGTTTAAGGAAAACTTGGTGGTAGTAGTTCGATAAATAATAGTCATTATTTTTATCATTATTAGTATTCTTTTGAAGCTTGACAGAGTTCACACATCCAAGCCATACAACTTTCTTGGTTTGTTTCATTTTTAACTTGACAGTTCTAACTAATGAAGAAAGTAAAATTCTACACTGGTAGAGGGAAACCAAAACAAAAGAATTGATACTAATGGAGGATACCAGTTTCATCTCTTTAACAATGTAACAGAAAGGGGAAAAATATTTTCCATTTTACAGAAGACAGAATTACCCACTTATTCTGAGAAAATAAAGTAAATATAAGATTACTAATGGGCTTTCCTTAAGCTAGCCAGAAGTAAATTGATATTGATTCCTTTCATTGATTAATGCATTCCAGGAATTTATCCAAGTACTTGGTTTAACTATGATATACTTCCGGAGAAGTTAGCTGGTTTAGCCGAAGGTACATAGGTAACTGGTGACTCAGTGAAGACTACCTTATGTAAACTTCATTAATGTGTGACAGTCCCTTCAAATACTTTTGGGATTCTATTGAATAGTACAAAAAGTTCTAATCTAGGAAAGTAATAATAGTTTATGCCAGAATAAAAATAAAGAGTTTATAATTTTTCATTTGTGCTTCTCTTCAATCTAGATTTAAAGCATTTAAAAATTTCCAGTTGTATATCAGAGGAAATTTTTGTTGTTAATTTTATCCTTATTGCATTTTGATGAGTGATGTAGCCTTTAGGATTTCTGCCTTTTAAAATGTGTCCATCCTTATTTGGTGATCTGGTTAATTTTGAGGATGTTCTACATATGCATAGGAAAAGCATATATTCTCCACTTGGGGGTACAAAGGTACACACATACAGGTGTATCTGTGTATGGCTGTATCACATATTGTCATTGAAGATTAGTTTTAATCGTTTGGACACTTCTGCCTCCTGTACCAGTTTCTCCCACCCTCTGGTTGGGGTAATTGCAAGGTCTCATATCCATGCCACAAACCTTTGGCAGGAAGTCAGACTTGTTTCCATACTTCCGCAAAAGTGCAATCACATGGGGGCGGTGGGGGTGGGGGGGCACATGTCACAATCAAGTGAGAAACTCGATAGTGGATGAGACCTACAAATTAGTGTGAACAGTATCGGCCCTACCACAAAATAGGTTTTGTGACCCTAGACAAGTCACTTTCGGGTTTTCAGTTCCTCATCTCTCCGAGTGGGGGCGACCATCCTTGTCCTGCCAACATCACCAGGTTTGTCAGGAGAAACCAGGAGATAAGGAGCGTAAACAACAAAAAGCGATAAAGAAATTTTAAAAATACTAGCATTGGTTGCTAATACTTAGATACAGGAGAAGGCAAAGATAACGATGGAAAACTGCCAACACCGGCTCCAAGGTGCTCAGTTTCTATTGGTTCTCGTCCCTGGCCCCAACCACCTTCAGCTTCCTTTGAGGACACCCTCCCTTCTGATGGAGAAATCCCTGCCCAATAACGTGAGTCCCCCTCTACTAGCACCAGCAGCTTGGAGCCTGCTTGAAGAACATTGTGAAAATTAGCAGAAACCTGCCAATAGCTAAAATTCGCGCTTTACTCCCGTCAACCGTGGCCACGAAAGTCCAGTGCCTCCTCATTAGGCAGTGGGGGCTGTGGGGTGTCGCCCAAAACACGATTTAGCCCCTGAGCACACCTGGGTCTTGGGCAGAAAGAGTCTGGGCTAAGGAGATGTTCAGGGTGGAGAGCCTCAAGGGCCTCTGTGCTCTCCGCAAGCAGCAAAGGCGTTAGATCTAAGCACTCTGTCTCCCTCGGCGGGGAAGGGATCGATGATGTTCTGGTTGCGGATTTCAGGGACAGATGATCTTCGCGTCCGCACCTCCTCGGGAAGATCATTGAGCGAGAGCGCTGAGCACGCCCGCCGGGGCGCTGAGCCGGGGGAACCGGTGCCGTGTCTGCATCGCCGCGCCACTCTTTCCCCAATTTGCCTTCTAGCTGCAGTCCGAGCCCAAATTAATTCTCTCCACTTGTGAGTGAGCACACACAAGTTCCCTGGGCACGATCCTTCCATCTGTCTACCAGGGGAGTCCAGCTTTTCAACGATTAACCAACCCCCCCGCCCTGCCACTGGGCGAAAGAAAGGTGGCAGGCTGGAGGGATGGGGGGGGGAAGTTGGCTAGCTACCGGCGCTGAAAGGATTTGCTTTCTTCGGTTTTTAACCAAAAATGCAGTGGGATACCTGCTCAGCAGACTGCTGCCCCGGCCTGGAGCCCTGGGCTCACTTCGCAGCCTGCTGCTGACTTTCACTCCACAGCCCTGCTCGGTGTCCGCAGGGTTTCGCCCCCTTGCCCAAGTCTGCGGACAGATCTCTGCCCAGGCGCGTTAACGTGGGCTGATAGGCTACAGCCCCAAAGCATCCAACTTGCGCCTCCAGTTTATCTGCCCCACCCCCACCAAAGGACGTGCCCCTTTGGTAGTGTCGGGGCTCCCAGCCCGAAGCTGGGGGGTAGGGCGCTCCCTATCCCCTCCTCCCCATCCCCGCCGCGCTCGGGGTTTTACTGCAGCAGCCGGAGGTGACAGCGACGCCTAAGCCTCCCCGGTTGCTCTCAGAGCCCCAGCTTCCCCAGCATCCGGAAAGCGCCCTCTCCTGAAAGGCCGATCCGGGGAGAAGTACCAACCAGCCGCAGAGAAGCACATTTAAAAATGTAAAAGTCGCTGGGCTGCATTCCTCCGAGGACGAGCCTGATCGCCCAGGACTGAGTGGTAGTGCGTGGGAAGTTGGGACCGAAGAGCAAAGGGGGAGGGGAGTGGTGCAGTCGGCATTCTCTTCTGGAAGGAGTCACTGGAGCAGTGCAGTTGGACACAAGTTTTCGTGGGAGTGTTTTCCTTTTGTGAATAATTAATCGCCGTGATCAGTCTGGCAGAATTGGAGTTTTGGCAACAGTGCGGACCACGGGCCGAATACCCAACTCTGACAAGCTCCGAGGCGGCCAGCGCAGGGGGAGCTCGCAGCGTCTGGAGAGGCGCCAAAGCGTTGGTGCTCACCTAACCTGCAGAGAGATACACCCAGCCAGGAGGTAAGCATCTTCTAAAGTATCTGCTTGAAAGGTAGTTTTGGTAGGATACAATTCCTGCCTTTCTAGGGTAAAATAATGCTGAGCTTTAATGCAATTTATCAGTTTATTATTTAACTGCACTAAAATTTTAAGAATTGGATGGGTTTTTCCATTTGCCTTTATGTTAGAAACTATGCACTTTCACTCAACAGAAACTAAACTTTATTATAGTAACTTTCCAAGCCAAAAAAAATTACTTTGTAAATGACTTTCATGACTTATCTTTTTGTAGTGCATTAATAACTATTCAGAGAAATATCATTGGGAGCTATTCAGTTTCATTCTTAAAGTATTCCTCTTTATCTAATTTCATGCTCTTCTACAATATAATACTTTTTGCCCATATGCTACTTCGGACAATAATGCACACAAGTCAACTGCCCCAAGGGTGATGAATTTTCAAGGAACACATTTTAACATTTTCTCATAAGTATTAAGCAGTATATATTTTCTCAAAATTGTTTAACTGATCATTTGTAAGAAACCAGACCTCTAAACCCCAACAGAGAGGTACAGTTAACTTTGCCATGGGGGAGAGAGGAATGGATAGGCATGAACAGAGATTCCAGGTCTGATTCAGCTAACATGATATTCAACCGGTTGGCATTTGGCAATTAACGTATGAGCTCGGCCCACAACCAGATAAAGATTTTGAATAACTGTTAAATGTAAATGTTTACCCTAAAACTACAAATAAATGCATCGGAGAAGTTCGGACAGTTGTCTTTCTAAAAGACTTTGTGGCTCAGTAGTTCTTTTGAATGAAACAAAAAATTAAGAAATACATGGTCAGTTTTGCTTGTGAACTTTTTGGGTTATTGCCTAAAACTAGTGAGGTATTAATGACTTGTTTTCCACATTATAATTATTCCTATGCTTTTTAAAATAGCATCATTTTGAACACTGTTTCAATGGTTGTGATGGCTTTGCACATAGATTACTTGAGTAACAACAAATTCTCATATGCAATGCAGTCATACCCATTATTCAAATATTTCCATACAACTATTTAATAACAATTAATTACAAATGGCTTGTCAAACCAAATGCATAGGCAGTCTAGAATTTCACTGGATATTACATTGAAAGTCAACCAGTCATCAACTTCAAAGAGTTTTCTTAACCCACTGTTTGTGAATTTGCAAATACTTCTGTAACAATTGTTCTTGCTAACTCTATATCTACTACGTCAGCACAAACTTGTTTACCACCAAGTACATAAGATGCAAAATCTTCATTAAAATGTATCCAAATGGGACTAAACCTCCAGAAGGCTGGTATGAGGAACTACACGAACCCACTCTTTAGCAACACAATAACTGGTGAAAATTATGGATAAACAATATTTAGTTTCTAGATATTATCCTCAGAGAATGCAACAAATGAAGAAAATGTATTCAAGACAGTGTACTAAACTTCAGTATAACAGCAAGAGTTTGTAGCATTTGAGCCACAACCCAGTTCCCTGCCTTCCTCCAGGTGGGTATGATAGGACTCCACTTCCAGTAGGTACAGCTAAGAACAGAGGGCTCCCTCTCAAACTTAATCCCAGTCCAGGGCTGTAACATATAAAATGTGTATCTGGGAAAAGCAGGCCACAAGCATCTCACCCACCCCAGCTTTGTGTTGCAGAAACTATTCTAGTCAAGAGCAGGCGAGAGGGCTGAGGCTTTCTTCTTCCAACCATCCCTCATTCTTAAGGCAGAAAAAGGGAAACCCAAAAACTAATAGACAAAAAAAAACACATTTAAAAATGAGCAAGGAGTTTTAGACATTTCTCTAGAAATAGAATTTCTTCAAAGGAGATGTACAGATGTCTAATCAACACATGAAAATGTGCCTACTATCATTATTTCTTAGGGAAATGAAGATCAAAACCACAAGATACCATTTAAAAACAACCAAATGGCTATAATAAAAAATATATATAATAACAGTTGTTGGAGAGGAGGTAGAAGAATTGGAACCATCATATATGGGTGGTAGGATTATAAAATGTTGAGTTGCTATGGAAAATAGTTTGGTAGTTCCTCAAAAAAGTTGAATATAGAGGTACCATATAACACAGCCATTTTACTCCTAGGTATATATGTGTAAATGTATATATATATGTGTGTGTATCCAAGAGAATTGAAAACCTATGTCCATACAAGAACTTGTGCACAAATGTTCACAGAAGCACTACTCAAACTAGCCAAAAAGTGAGAGCACCCAAGTGCCCATTGACTGATGAATAGATAGCTAAAATGTGATATGGAATGGAACAATGGAATAGTATTCAGCAGTAGAAAGGAATGAAGTGCTGATACATGCTACATCATGGATAAAGATGGAAAAGATTATGCTAAGTGAAAGACCACATATTATATGACTCCATGTCATATAATGTCATGTATAACATGTCCACAAGAGGCAAACCAAGAGTCAGAAAGCAAATTCATGTTTGCCTGTGGCTGGAATTGGGCGGGGGGTGGCGGGGAGCAGGGGGAGGAGTGAGGAAGAATGGGGAGTGACTGCTAAAGAGTGTGAGGTGTCTTTTTCTGGTGATGAAAATGGTCTAAAATTGACTGGTGATGGCTGCGTAACTGTGAGTACACTAAAAGCTACTAAATCGCATACTTTAAATGGGTGAATTCTATGGTATATGAATGACATCTCAATAGAGCTGTATTTTTTATAAATTATCCAAGGTATTTTGAAAAACAGTTGGGTTTATAACTTGAAGTTCATGAATCCCCATGTACCACTAGATCAATAGTTTATATAAGGCTTTTTCCCAAGGGTCACATGAAATATGTGAAATAATTAAGTGTAGCACAGATGTGACACAGCTATATGATTTGCATACATTTACATGCCTGCTCAAGCTTTCTTCTGTGCGACTGGGTGGAAGAGAGTAAAGGGGAAACACTGGAACAACTGTACTAGAATAAAGAATAAAAAATAAAATTAAATTAAATTAAAAAGTCAAATGTCATTAGTATAGTCCTATAGAGAATTTGCTTGCAATGTCCTATCTTCTTGGACTCACTCACTCAGAATATTAATCTAAGCCCAGTGAGGTCAGTTGTTCCTTCTGCTTCTAAATATGTATAGCCCTTTCTCAGCTCTGCAGGACAGTTGTTGAGAGAGGTCACACTGGATGAGAGAGGGAGGTTATCTGACACTCAGATTAGCCCAGTTTCACTTCCACTAGATTGGCCCTGGAGGTAGGAGTCTTGGAAAAAAGGGAGTGCTGGAGCAGCCGCTAAGGTCCTCGGAGCATACTGGCATGTCATTGCTGGGAAGCATCTCCTGTGATTACAACAATGTCAAGTACAAGAAAACTCTCAAATAATTAATATACTCCTCTATTTGCCTTTTGTGTTTTGAGTTTTGATGAACTGTCTGATCCTGTACTAACAATTTTGGAATGGGATGATAATGCTTTGTCCAAAAATAGGAATACAAAATTAGTGACTGAGTTTCACGGGGGTGGTGAGCAGCACCTGAACTTGATGCCAGGACCAGTTACAAGAACACTGAGCCAAACCTTACCCTTAGCTTTAGAGATTCCAGTAAGTCTGTCTGCACCAGGAAACCTCCAGCTTTTCCATTCGCACCAGCACAGGCTTATCTTTCCATGACTATGTTTAAGAGAGGCTACCGTGCTGATGCACATGGGTTCTGGGTGGTTTCTGGCCTAAGTTCCAGTTGATGGTCCTGTGACCGTCATATTTTGTCCAATTAGAAGATCTCCGTAGAATAATTTTAAATGTCTAACTATTGTCTAGAAATTAAATACATCTAGGAAAAACTTGATCAGAGTTATTATTTATTAACATTGCTCTAATCAGGATTAATAATTCATTTGTTCAACAGATATTTACTGCACATTTACCCTTCACCAGGACAATCCTAGGCCCTGGGTGAATGAACAAAACAGGCAAAATGTCCTGCTCTTGTGGGAGCTTAAATTGTAGAGTGGACGTCAAACACCTAAAACATAAAACATCATAATAATAAGTAAATGATACAGCATATGAGAAGGAGCTAAGGATCTGGAGCAAAATTAAGCAGAGAAGCAAATGAAGTACAGTGTTAAACTGTGGCATCAAGCTGGAAAGTCAAATTCTGTGATTATGTCACATAAAGACTGCACACCAACCTGGCCATGTGACTCTGGGATGGGCGGTAAGGATTACCAGCTCCCAGGTAACTCCTCCCCTCAGGAGCTTCGGTTTCCCCTCCCATCAGCAGTATTTTGCTATCTTGGATTTGGTGTTTCTCACTAAGGAAGATATTACATTAGCTCCAACACATTTCAAGCTGGCACAAGGAAGATATAAATGTAATACCTGCTCTACAGCCAAGAGCTACAACCTAAATAAAACACCACCTTAAGATAACAAACATTCTTGTTGAGGGAAATCATTAGCCTGGGCTTTTGGTTTTCTGTTGGCCTTTCTTGCTTTGCCTTGGATTCTTGTAGCCTGCCAGCGGATTGTGTAGTAAGTAATTAAGAACCACTTGCCCAAAATTAACACCATTTGAAGAGTGAAAAGGTAGGGAAGAGGTTGAGGGGAAGAAAAATTTCCAAGCCATCCTGCAAAGGTGAAGAGAGAATGAATCTTTCATCACTACAGAATAGAGCACGGAATCCCACAGATTAACTGGCAAAGAAGAAGGGGAAAAGCAACCAGAGTCTCCACTCTCCCAGGCTGTCCCAAAATCTCTAGTCAGGGCACCTGTTTTAAAAGATCCTTGAGGACATATTGTTCTAGTCAAATATAATGGGTGTGGCAGCTTTCCTGGAATAGAGCTTTGAGAAAATGGCTTAAAAGGGAGCACTGACTTGATTTTTTAAGTCGAAAGGTAATATTTATTTCAGGCTTACAGCAGAAGCATTTAAGAATGTCAGAGCCCTGGTGGGGTAGCTGTGCTGATACACCAAAGTTGTAGGTTCCATCCCTGGTTAGGGCACACACAAGAAGCAACCAATGATTTTCATAAATAAATGGAACAACAAATTGATCTCTTTCTCTATTTCAAATCAATTTTTCAAAAAGAAGAAGAATGTTTGGAGTCATTAGAAATAAGTTAAAAGACACCCTATAATAGTGGAGTTATTATGGAGCATTAGAATTTTCATTTATTCAGCACATTTTAATTGAGCAGCCATGATGTGGAAGGCCGGAAGGGAGCAACACAGAGGAGGACCTTGCTTCAAAGCCCTGTCTTTCTAGAGGTTACACTGTATGCCTTTTGCTACAAAATAGTTGAAGCACACAGTGATGAGGACAAGAACTCTTTGACCTGCCTGTCTTAACACCCCCTTCCCGACTGGGTTAGAGCCTCTTTCTGTGCCCCAGTGCACTAGGCTTCCCTGTCATAAGTAAGTGCTAAGTAAGTGATGTTACAGCACTTACCACACTGTGTGCAGATGCTTGCATAGCTGTCTCTTCTCCTCTCTAGAAAGCGGCCCGAGGAGGGTGCCTGTCAGTCTTGTTCATAGTTTATGCTCCTACTACACGCTTGTTGACTATTTGATTAGAGGAACGGACAGATGGATGGATGGATGCTTTGCCAGATTATGACCAGAGTTCTTTGCATAGAGCGGCAGTCTGGCAGAGTAATGAAGAGTGTGTGTTATACATTAGCTGTTAGACTTTGGATCAGTTTTTAAATTTCCCAATGCCTCAGTGTCCTCATTTGTAAAGTGGGTAGAGAAATAGCGCCTCCATTATAGTGTTATGAAGTGAACTGCATTAGGTAATACATATAAAGTGGTTAGTGAAGTTCTGAGAGTTGCTCAATAAACATCTATTATTACCTATGTAGAATAGCAGTTTCCTTGGTGACAGTATGCTATTCAAATATTGCATCCCTGCCCTTTCAGTTCTATTATAAGATCAAAGGTTGTCTATTAGGAATTTCAAGCTAAAGTTATCACTTTGAGTTCAAGATCCTTGAAAAGATTAAAAAGAGAATTTGGAAATGAGCAAAAGTAGGTTACTGAACAACAAAATTTTTTAAAAAATAGAAAGAGAAAACAAAGGAAAAGTTCAAGGTGGCACAGCCAGAGCACCTCTTCGGGGGCAGTACGATGCCTCCACAGTGCTCGCACCCACATCCCGCAGACACTCCAAGCACCAGTTCGTCTCTGTCCAGTAAGTGCTCACTGATGCAGAAGGAGAAAGAAAAGTGAAAATAAAACTTTATTTGAAGTCGAGTCTTATCTAAACTTGCATGCTACATTATCTTTGTTTCTTTTGAAAATCTAATAACCCTCTTTTTGTGTAAGACTTGAGTCAGAATTATCACACTACTTCCTCATATGCGTTAGTTACCTATTACCTCCTGAATGAGACGAATGCCAACCTGCGACCCACCTATGCAAACCCGGCAACTTTAACACTTCCTTCTACTTCTGCTGGAGAGAATTCACTTACCTCCTCCCCAGCCATGGGGGAAATACTGTGTTTTTTATCTTGTAAGGATAATAAACCGCTTCTCTTTTATTCACCCACTGAAAAGTAATTTTTAAGTAAAATTAGCTTATTGTCACTTTATTGACAGAAAAAAATAGACGTAGAAAGAACATGTAACTGACCCTAATACTTCAGTTACCAACTCTTTTTATTCCTTAAGGCTTTATCTGCTCCACAGGGATAGCTTGGCCCTTACATTTTTAATAGGATGTTCCATTGCCTAAAACTTTAAACAAAGAAAAAATCAATCAGGTTGGCCTAGTTCTAGTTTTGATGGGCAGAAAAATTAGTTTATAATATAAGACAAAATTGTTGTTTCCACAAGTTTCCTCCATTGAGCAGGAAACAAACTCTGGTGCAAACACAAAACAGGTGATACGGTCCCCGATGGCCTTCGGCACATTCTGTCTTCCAGACCAACGGGGTCACCATTTCAGCTTCCTTCATCCTAGTCTCTGAAGGGCTCAATAGGGTCACCTAAAAGGTATCTCTTAGAAGGAGAGGAAATAAAATGCGTGTAGTGAAGAACAGAGTGAAGAAATAAAATGGGAGTTTCTATGGTCAAGCTGCTAAATTGTTAAAATCAAGTCAGTCGAGGCTTGAAAAACAATTTTATTCTTGCTTTTACCAGCCTGGGAACTTAAACCTTTGAACCTTCCAGTTGTGCCTGGAGCTGTATGTGTATAAATCCTGTAAGATAATGCTGTGACAGCCCCTAAAGGATTTAGGGAAAAAATGTTCACCTGACCAGCCCACCTGGTGTCTAGCATCCTCTCCGCCCGACATGTGGCTGATAACTCTCCTGCATCAATACAAGGACCAAGAATCGAGATTGATTACTCTCAAGGATGTGACTTTTACAGCAAGAACTTATAACTTTTCTTTTTCTTCAGAACGGTTCTAGGTTTTACCTAGCCATGTTCCTAGTTAGCAAACTCTTAAGACCCTTGAATAAATCATCATTGTTTCTAGCTAAAGCCTCTCGATCCATTTATGTTCAGTCAACACTAGCAAATAAGAGAAACAAATAATAATTGTGATAAAAGCACCCTCAGAAGGTGTTGGCCAGTATCTGCTTGAACAGTTTCCCTAACAGAATTCTCACTGCTTCAACCAGGCAACCTCTTTCCCTTTAGGTAGCTCTTATTACTTAAAGTTTTTCCTGAGATTCTCCTCTGAGAACAAAACAATTCCAAACCTTCCCCTCTACAACAGCCTATAATACCACTTAAAACCTTTTAGGTTTTTTAAGACCTCCATGACACATTCCTCCCCCAAAATCTTCTGTCAACATTTCCCGTTGGAAACCTTCCAGACTTTCTCCATCTAGCTCCCTAGGGATGCGCTCCACCTGATGGAGGACTGACTTCAACATCTAGGAGAAGGATGCTAATCAAAGCCAAGAGCTGTAGCCCCCTTTTCTCATCTATGGAACTGTACTTCTGTAAACAAATAATGTTGGTGCTATGGCCAGAATGTATCCCCTTAAAGTTCATATGTTGAGTCCTAACTCCAGAGGTGATGGGAGGTGGAGCCTTCATAAATGGGGCTAGTGATCTTATAAGAGAGGCTCCAGGGATATCTTTGCCCCTCCCACCGTGTGAGGACACAGCAAGAAGGTGCTGGCTACAAACCGGGCAGAGGGCTCTCCCCAGAATGCAACCGTGCTGGCAACTTGATCTTGGACTGCCCAGGCTCCAGAAATGTGAGAAATAAACTTTTGTTGTTTATAAGCTACCCAGTCTGTGGTATTTTGTTATAACAACCCAAATGAACTAAGATGACTGGATCACTTGTTTGTTTATTTGCCAACCATACCACAACATTGTTGACCCATAATGAACTTGCAGTCAAGTAAAATTCCTTTCTTAGTGTTTTTTACTTCAACTGCTCATGGGCCACATTTTCCCCTGTCTTTCCCTTGGATAATTGACTTAGTGAAGTAAAGAACAAGACTTTGTATTTCCTCAAAAGTTTTACCCTTAGTCATTCTGTAATCTGGTCTTTTAGAACTCCACTCCATAACTTGGGTATATCTGCAATTTGATCTCATACTTTCTGCGACTTAACTCAGGTGGACAAAAATGCTACAAGCATCAGGAGAAAGTACATAGCCCTCGGGCTCCCCACTAAAGACCCACTCACCATCTTTGTGATGCTTTCCCAATTCAAAACACTTTCAAAGAATTATTTTATTTAATTCTTACAACTCTCTCATGAATAAGATACTATCATCATTCTATATCTGAGGACAGAAATTCAGAGAGACTATCTGACTTGCCTAATGTGACAAGCTAATAAATAACAAAATAAGAGACAATCCCTAGGGTTTCTGACTGTTTCCAAGTGCTTTTTTAAAGACAGATTTTTAAATTCAGTGATTAACATAATCTACTTTTTCTTGTTTTCTCCACCGATATCAACAGAGACTAATTAAAATCAAGAAACATTTTCTACAAACAAAATATTACCCAGAAGCCCACTATTTAAAACAAGACTGAAAGCAGGCTGCTCTGATAGAAGCAAGGGGCAGGCACTTAGCCTCATCTCTCTGCCCTACCTGGGGCGCCCTCTCTACCTTGCCATAGGTGGTAATATGACACCTTATGGTCCTTCCTGAACATTGGGAAGTCACTAGGCAATCCTCAAAATGTTACCTTTTCTAAAAATAATTTTTAAAATAAGGCTAGGTTGTCATGCCTTGTATTTATTACACATTCTAAAATGTTGTGGGAGAACACCCATCTAATAGGTTTAATAATCTTTTACAAGGAACATGTTTTAAATTTGAAAGTATCTTTGGGTTTATTCAAATGTGTACTTTACAGATGAAGAAACAGCCAGTCAGAGAGGCAAAGTAACCCAGGATCATTCTGTGGAAGAGCAAAGACGAGAATTCAAACCTGGACCCTCCTAGGCAGGTAAATTCTTCTGATTATTTCATGGAGTCTTGCTTTTAGAAATCTGACCCTTTTGATTACACCATCGTCAACAAGATGAAGCTTCTGGTTCTCACTTAAGCAGCCAACAAACATTTATTATGCACTTGATATTGTAATGGCATTTAAGGTGACACAAAGGAGGAAAGTGTGGCAATTTTAGCTTTAGTAATGAGGCCTTGAAACATTGGTTCTTAGCTTACATTCATTGTAGGTTCCTTTGCAGTTTACCCAGAGAACTGTATATGCAAAATTTGCAAACATTTCAAGGAGTTCTTAGACATCCCTCACCCCACCTCCCAAGTTTTGGCCTCCAGGTTAAGAACCTCCAGCCAATTCCAGTGCAAGTGCCAATGTCAGGATTGCATAGCACCAGCTACTGTCTTATTTATGAGTCTGTTAGTTTAAAGGCTGCTTCTGTTTCTGCACCCTTCATCTTTTATTTAAATGGAGCAGCATCTTATTCTGGAAGACCTTTGATGCAAGAGAGGAGTAATGTGTTCATAAGTCATTAGTTAACCAGATGGGACAAATTAAGAGAGAAATATAATAAATGAAAACTTTTCTTTAAAAATGGTAACAGTGAAAGTGAGGATGGTCAGTGTTCATATTAGGATGTTCATTTTCTTTCTGTTTCTTTTATTTTTAAGAAAGAAAAAGAGAAATAGAATTTTTTAAAAAACTAGATTACCACTAGCTGCCCTCCCATTTTTATTAAATCTCCAGCAAGTGGAAAAAAAGACTAGTGGGTGTGAACAAAAAGATATAGATTTATTTTTGAATGATTGTTTCTTAATTTTTCCCTTTTGCTATAATTTTTAAGATATTTATGGTTCTGAAATGGTTGACAACAGTTTCTTCATTTCAAAATAGTTTGGGCAGCTCCAATATTACTTTAAAGTTATTGATAACAAGGCTTAATTTTATTAATTCAAAAAATACTTCTTGGATAGTTAGCATTCGGAAAGCATTGCTATAGGAGGCAGTGTGGTGTGATAGATCATTTTGGAGTGAGAGAATCCAGGACTGAATACCAGTATTATTTCCTCCTTGGCTTTGACAATAGCAAGGTACAAAAACTTAATGAGCCCCATCTCTGTAATGAGCAAATATATATTTTTATCTCCTTTATGACAGCCACGCCAAAACTGAATAAATATTCAGAAGAAAAATCTCTCTGAAAGTGACTTCTAGTGTAATAACTAATAAAGTTCACTTGTTCTGCCTTTACAAAATCTCATTCTCTTTTATTCTTTGCCTTAGCAATTATGTATTAGCATAGTGTATAATAATCATAACAGTTAACATTCCTTTAGCCCTTCTTATGCATTATTCCAAATACTTTATACATTTTAATCTTCCCAGAAACTGTGTGAAATTCTATTATCATTCCTATTTTCCAACTGAGGAAATTAAGTCCAAGCAGTGGAGCTCCTTAGCCAGTGAAACCCAGACCGAATCCAGAGCCAGAGCTTCACTACTCTCCAAGCTACCTCTTGCCAGGATTCTCACCCAGCTCCCCATGTGTTCACCATGGGGTGAATTAAGTAAAGGGATTCAAATATATGCTGACAGGTGGAAACTAAACTTTTGCCAGTGAATGTTCAGTACAGTACACCAATACCAAATTATAATGTTGTATACCTGAAATTTATATGTTGCCATTAACCAATGTCACCTCAATAAATATAATTAATTTTAAAAAATTAGGAATCATTGAAGTTAAGCAGCTAGCCAGTGCTGCCACAGTGGTTCTTAATAAATGCTCCATCTGTTCCCTGAAGGGTTCTGAATTATAAGACTCTAGTGCTTTTAAGGAAGAGATCTAAATGTGTTTCCTAGGTCTGCTGTAACAAAGTGCCACAACTCTTGTGGCTTAAAAGGAAAAATTTACTTTCTCACAGCCCCGGACGCTAGAAGGCTGGAATGAAGACTCCACAGGGCCATACTCCCTCCAAAGGCTCCAGGGGAAAACCCTCCCTGGCCTGTCCCGGCTTCTCTCGGCTCCCGGTGGTCCTTGGCTTACAGCTACATAATGCCAGTTTCTGTCTCTGTCCTTGCATGACTTTTCCCCCATGTCTGTCTTCTGAGGACACTTGCCATTGGATTTAGGACTGACCTGGTTAATCCAAGGATGATCTCTTGCTGAGATCTGTAACTTAATTACATCTATGAAGACCTTTTCCCAAGGAAGATGACATCCACAGGTTCCAGGATGTGGACATATCTTTTCTTGGGGGGGGTGGCAGGTGGCAAATATTTTTAATCCAAATATTTTTATGTCTTAGGATATTTCTTCTGTTATTCTTGATAAACAAGCCCATATTCACTCAAAGAAGGAAAAGAACATTTTATCTCTCCCAGGAGGCCTGTAGTTCTATTGATTACAAAATCTGTTGGTTGAAAATATTGTTCTTACTATGCTCAGTTGCCATGAGCCTTCTGCACATTTACTTGAGAATCAAGAACATTTTTAGGAAATAAACAATTGTTACCCATCTAAAAGAACAAGCCTGGAGTTCAGCACTTCTCCCCTTGTCACTGCAAGCACGCATGCAGCCAGCCATGTGCTTGGGAGAAGGCAAAAGAGAATGAAGCCAACAGCATGTTCACACGGTTCTTCCCAGGAGAATGAGAAAGCTACTTGGCTAAATTGTCAGTAAACTTTTTTCTTTCAGTACAGTTCATCATTTAAGTAACTCACCTCTAAATACAAGATTACAAAATCTAATTAGAGTACATAATTTCATTGCCTAAAAGCAAGTTTTGACATAACCCTATGAACTCCTGCCTTGTGCTTCTCTCCTCCCTCGTCTGCCCTCCCCCCACCACCACTCAGAAACCACCTCACCCCGAATGTTAATCAGCCAAGGAGGGAAATGTCCCTACATCTGTGGGCTGGTAGAAAGAACACTTCGTCCATTGCTGACCCTTAGAGTAAGCCTAGCTCTCCACTCATTCTCCTAAAAGTAGTAATAAGATACAGAAGCAGGTCAGTGAGGGCAGTGGAAAAGCAACAGCCCATGTTACTATTGTCACAAAAATCACACCTCTGAAAGATCAATGTTGCTAGCCACCAAAATGTGAAAAATACTGAACTCATCACCAGAAGCTTTCGGACAGTGGCATAAGAAATAAAGAATAAGCCAGAAAAATGAGAAGGAGGAAAAAGAGGAAAAGGAAGATGAAGGACAGAAAAATACACGAACAAAAACTTTTATGAGCAAATGCATTCAGTGTTACCAAAATAATTACAAAGAAAACAGAGAAGTAATATAAGAAAATACTATTGGAAGAGTCTTGATTGGCCAGCTGCCTAAGCAGCCAGATCACCTTTAACAGAACCCTGGGAACAGGGCTCAGCAGGTACGCCGTTGACAAACCAGCACTGCAGTAGTAACTCACCTTCCTCACCCTCAAACTCATCCTTGGAAAAATGTCTTCTGTTTCTGAAGACTTTTTACATCAATTATAATGACAATAGGTAGGGAAGAGATAAAGTTTTCCTATTTCACGGTCTGGCTTCTAGCTCCTAAGAAAACCAAGCCCTTAGAAACAAACAGTAAGCAAGTAAGTTCATTTACCACATTGTGGGTTTGATGGGGAAGAGCGAGAGGTGAAAAGAAAAAGGCAGAACTTGTTACAATACACATAGAACACAGTTTTTAGGAAAGTGGTTTGTAAAGACAGAAAACTAATTTCAACTGAACGATTTAGCCACTTTTTCACTCTTACTCCCTTTTAAGTGCAGTGGGTGTTGGGGTCTTATGAGCCCCTTAGTTCACATCCTTATTAAAAGCAGATAGGCATATCAGAGAATTTATAACTGCCACAAATACTATAGAAAATTAAGCTACTGGAATTTCACAGATGCCAAGAATAAACCTAAACATGTCAACCCTCCTCTCAGAAGGATGTTTATAGTTTGGTAGTTCTCAACTTTCCCAAGAAGAAAGAACCCCAGTTGGGAGTTCACAATTATTACTTGGACATCTTTGGGGTTGTCTACTCAGCTTTGGACAATACATCTATGAAATTTTGCTAGGCTAGTAATGCCCCATTAAAAACTAAGAATCTCAATGGCTTTTTAAAAATATCACTCAGACTATTTGTAAGTACATTTTGCAGTTTCAGTCCTTCATAATTTTTAGAATTATTCACTGACATTTAACTTTTTAATTCTAGTAAAATACATATAAAATAAAAGGTTATTATTCTCAACCATTGTCAAATGTAGTTCAGTAGTATTAGGCATATTTACATTGTTGGGCAACTAGAGTGTTTGCATCTTGCAAAACTGAAACGCCAAATCCCAATCCAACAACTCCCAACTTCCTGTGTCCTCCAGCCTCTGGCAAGCAGCATCCTACTTTGTTTCTACGCATTTGCCTACTCTAGATATCTCAGGTAAGTGAAATCATACAGCATTTATCTTTGTTGGGACTTATTTCACTTAGCCTAATGTCCTCTAGGTTTTCCATGTTTGCCACATCAGAATTTCCCTACTTTTTAAGGATGAATAATATTCCATTGTCTGAATATACTCGATTTTGTTTATCCATCCATCTGCCGATGGACATTTGGACTGCTCCCACTTTTTGGCTACTGTGAATAATGCTGCTTTAACATCGTGTACATTTAATGACTTTGTAAAAATAATGTTGAATGACTTGAAGGCCACCATTAGTGTTACAGCTGTTTTCTTTTTACTTCTAAAAACAACTTGGTAATCCTCAGAGAAAATATCTTCCGAAAGAAAAGGCTACCCAGAAGTTACACTCTTTCCTCTTTCCTTATTGGATAGCAAGGTTTCTTTTCTTTGTTATTCTGAATAAAATAGTAATAAAGAGTTTATTCTAAGAAATGACATTATAGTTTAAAAACTCGGTCCAGCAGCCCTACTCTCCCCTCCAATATTGGCAGAAATAAACAGAGGTCATTGCTTTGTTTCTCTCTGAGTAGATGAAAGATCAGTAGGAACA